TCATGCGGATCATCAGGTTTTTGAATTGCTGTAGCGTACTGATATAGCATTCTTGCTCATTTTTTTGCTCTAGTGAAATTAGTAAAATAATGTAATTGTCCTATTATTTAATCAGTTCATTGGTATCTTAAATTAGTGTTTCTCATCTAAAATCTAGAAAAATCTTTTATAAATGAAGCAGTGTATAAGAAAAAATGAATTTCAAATATTAATGAAACTGTTCAAAAAAAAAAAAAGAAACGAGAACAATCAATATTACTATGAAATGCCGAGCCAGAAGTTATCGTTTTGCGATCTATGACCATGTCATTACTTCAACTACTTGATCCGCGCTATAAATCTGCACAATTCTTAGTCTTCAATAATTAAAAGCAATAAATAGCGAAGAAATGACAAAATATGTTCCATATAAATATCCAACTATGTGTTCTCTTCGCTTGCCTTTAATTGCAATTTAAAACAATCTGTTGTGAATATCGTTTATTTAACCCATCAATTTAGCAAACTTTATGTATTATTTAACTTTGTTCTAATCAACTTTTTTCTGCTGCAAACATAATATAATTAATGATCTATCCATCAATCTGATTGCAGTGAATTTATCATAATAGAGAAAGCGAAAGCATTATTCACTGAGCCATTCTCAGTGCAATGCAAATATTTTCCAGAAATTTCTAGCCAAAACTTTATCCAAATAACGAAAAATGTTTTGGATTGCAGTTTTTTTCTAATTTTTCAACTTTCCTTTTAACGCATTTGTCCATCTTGTCTAGTTTGAATGATTTGCTAATATCCTGAAATGCAATTAGCACAGAAAGCTCGTTTTTTTTTTTTTTTTATCGGTACAGAAAACTTTTGTTTTTATTTTTAATTACATGAAATAAGGCAGGTTTGTAGGTGGTTTGTAATTGGTTTGTAGGTGGTTTGTAATTGGTTTGTGAGTGGTTTGTAATTGGTTTGTGAGTGGTTTGTAGGTGGTTTGTAATTGGTTTGTAGGTGGTTTGTAATTGGTTTGTAGTTGGTTTGTAAAAAATTTTGCCATTCTCAGTGCAATGCAAATATTTTCCAGAAATTTCTAGCCAAAACTTTATCCAAATAACGAAAAATGTTTTGGATTGCAGTTTTTTTCTAATTTTTCAACTTTCCTTTTAACGCATTTGTCCATCTTGTCTAGTTTGAATGATTTGCTAATATCCTGAAATGCAATTAGCACAGAAAGCTCGTTTTTTTTTTTTTTTTTATCGGTACAGAAAACTTTTGTTTTTATTTTTAATTACATGAAATAAGGCAGGTTTGTAAGTGGTTTGTAATTGGTTTGTAGGTGGTTTGTAATTGGTTTGTAAGTGGTTTGTAATTGGTTTGCAAGTGGTTTGTAATTGGTTTGTAAGTGGTTTGTAATTGGTTTGTGAGTGGTTTGTAGGTGGTTTGTAATTGGTTTGTAGGTGGTTTGTAATTGGTTTGTAATTGGTTTGTAGGTGGTTCGTAATTGGTTTGTGAGTGGTTTGTAATTGGTTTGTAAGTGGTTCGTAATTGGTTTGTAATTGGTTTGTAGGTGGTTCGTAATTGGTTTGTGAGTGGTTTGTAATTGGTTTGTAAGTGGTTTGTAATTGGTTTGTGAGTGGTTTGTAATTGGTTTGTAAGTGGTTTGTAATTGGTTTGCGGTTGGTTTGTAATTGGTTTGTAAGTGGTTTGTAATTGGTTTGTGAGTGGTTTGTAATTGGTTTGTAAGTGGTTTGTAATTGGTTTGCGGTTGGTTTGTAATTGGTTTGTAAGTGGTTTGTAATTGGTTTGTAGGTGGTTTGTAATTGGTTTGTGAGTGGTTTGTAATTGGTTTGTAAGTGGTTTGTAATTGGTTTGTGGTTTGTAGGTGGTTTGTAATTGGTTTGTAGTGGTTTGTAATTGGTTTGTAATTGGTTTGTAGGTGGTTTGTAATTGGTTTGTAGGTGGTTTGTAATTGGTTTGTAATTGGTTTGTGAGTGGTTTGTAATTGGTTTGTAGGTGGTTTGTAATTGGTTTGTAGGTGGTTTGTAATTGGTTTGTGAGTGGTTTGTAATTGGTTTGTAAGTGGTTTGTAATTGGTTTGTGAGTGGTTTGTAATTGGTTTGTAATTGGTTTGTAGGTGGTTTGTAATTGGTTTGTAGGTGGTTCGTAATTGGTTTGTGAGTGGTTTGTAATTGGTTTGTAAGTGGTTTGTAATTGGTTTGTGAGTGGTTTGTAATTGGTTTGCGGTTGGTTTGTAATTGGTTTGTAAGTGGTTTGTAATTGGTTTGTAGGTGGTTTGTAATTGGTTTGTAGGTGGTTTGTAATTGGTTTGTAGGTGGTTTGTAATTGGTTTGTGAGTGGTTTGTAATTGGTTTGTAATTGGTTTGCGGTTGGTTTGTAAATGGTTTGTAGCTAGTAACTAAAGCAAGAAGATGTTTATTGTTGCTTTGTTATAATGGTTTGTCATCAAGCACCTCGGTCTCGGTCTTTACCTCTTTTCTAAGATTTAAATTAATATACTAAAAGGATATGCTTTAATTGATTTCGGTTTTTCCATTTACGATCAAAAATTATATGTTATGTTCATTGATTTTGATTTTGTAGCTTTATCTAGCAAGTTAAGCGAGATTATTTTTGAAATTATTCACTTTATAATTCGATAATTGTTTAATTCAGTCGATTAAACTTTGTTGAACAAATACGAGTTACTGCTGTGCTAAAGAGTTTCTTCTCATTTTATGCTGCGGATTTATTAATTTTAAATTAAAAAAAAAAAAAAAAGAAAAAACATGTAATATGATTCAAGGCAGAAAGATTCAGTGTTAAGGAGAAAGTAATTAAAAATATTAAAATGAAAATAGCTTGGTAGGGCGTATTCCGGTAAAAGTAATTTTATTATTCACTATTTTTTTTCTTTGTTTTTTCAAGCATAAACAATTTCAATTCAAAACATTAGTAGATGATTCCAGCTAGTATTAAACTTGAGTTTGGCATTTGTGGTTGGATGCTTATAATTGTGGCATATGTTGCCGTCTTATTAGCGCTACCATTTTCAGCTTGTGTTTGTTTCAAATTTTAATTGGTTTTAAGGTTTCAAATTTAATTGGTTACTGATTTCTTACAATTAAAAAATTTTTTTTGATGATTTTTAAAGAAGATTTTAAAATAGATGAGAATAAGATTAAAAGTAGAAGGTAAAAAGAGAGATAGCGAAAAAGAAAAGTAACGAGAGATAAAAAATAATTTTTGAAAAACTTAAAATTTTGATCGAATTTTTCTCTACTTTATCATTTATGAATTTTTTTTGTACATATGATTAACATAATAAGTAGTATTTTCAGTGAAATTATTTCAGGTTGTACAAGAATATGAGTGAGCAGTGATATTTCGTTTGGGAAAATTAATGACTGGTAAAGCTCGAGGACCTGGATTATTATTTTTTTTTTTCTAGAAAAATTTTTATTTTTTTAAATTTATATTTGCACTCGGAAATATTTTATAAAATTTTTGTATGCTTTTTATAGGCTTATTTTTTATTTTGCCATGCATTGATTGCTACAGGAAAGTGGATTTACGTTTCGTATCATTTGATGTACCACCACACGAGGTATTTTTTTTTACTTATTTATTTTAATTTTATTATAATAATTTACTTCCTTTTTTCTTTCATTTAATTCATAACTCAAAAAGATTTGTATGTGTTTAATTATGTTTAATTGAGTCACTTGCATAACAATGTAATAATTTATTGATAGCATTAATGTTAGATTAAATTTTTCATCAAACAAAGCATATCTTTTCTTAATAGCATTACCTATCTTTTAATTGAATTCCTTTTTATAATCATTTATCAAAAATGTTGAAATTTCAACAATTTTTTCATTTTTTTCAAATTAAAAAAATTTTTTTTTTTTTCATCTTATAAAATAACAATAAAATGTAGATTTTTTCATGCGATTCGGTGACAGTAGCTGTAAATGCAGTCATATATTTCCGTATTTCGAATGTCACTGTATCCGTGACAAATGTTGAGGATGCTGGTCGTTCCACTAAATTATTGGTACAAACAACATTTAGAAATATACTTGGTACAAAAAATTTTAGCTGAAATGGTCAGCGATCGAGAAGCTATTTTTATGCAAATGCAAGTAAGTTATTTATTCATTTAAATATGAAAATAAAAGAAAATCATTTTTACTAGTAAAATCTATTAATCGAATGCTAAAAGTTGAAAATTTGAAATAAAATATGATTTTTTTGCACTAAAACAAAAACATGATAACAGTTGAATTTTAAGAATAAAATAGTGATTTGTTTAATTTAATCGATAAGTTTGATTGTTAATAATTGAGTGGTTTTAATTTTTGTTGGTTTGTAATTGGTTTGTAGATGGTTTGTGAGTCGTTTATAAGTAGCTTGCAATTGGTTTATAAGTGGTAACTAAAACAAGAATATGTTTATTGTTGCCTTGTAAATGGTTTGTTATCATTCAAGTATTGTTGCAAGGACATATTAAAGCTTCTGGAATATTGCCCACTAATATCTTCAAAAAAAAACATCCTTCATTCACTAAAAATTAATTATACAAAAGCTACAAAAGAAAATTAAGAAAGAATAAGATGTACCCATATTTATAAATAAAACTAACCCGACATCCACCCCTAATACACCTAAACGAAATATAATAGGCTAGATATATATAATAGCCACAAATAAGCATTAACAAAAAAGATAGTCAAGAAGAAAAATAAAAAAAAAAACCTTCTTTACCTTCCTTCTTCAATAATTTAAGACCATCAAATAACGCTTGAAAAACTCCAGAGTAACCAACTTTATTAGGTCCAATACGATACTGTATTCCACCCAACAAATGACGTCCTATTAAAGTTAAAAAAGCAACAGTCTGTAAAATAGAAATAATTATAAAAAAAATACCAATATAATAAAAAACAAACAAAGTGAAGTCCAAAGAATTTACAATTCTCTAATCTAATATAAACTAATACTTTTAAACATAGAGACAAGTTTCCTTACCTCTACCATACTACAACTTACGCCCCTGTAGACCATTGACGGATGGTTTGTACCACTTTGTTTATTAAATTCATTAATATCTAAAAATAAATAAATAATTCAGAAAAAATTTAACAATAGTAACACACGATTATAAATCTATAAGCCAAATATATATCTGTTTAAAATGACAAAACATAAAAGCATTACAAATAAAATAAAAGCTAATGTGCCAAAAAGATTTACTAAAAAAAAGGGTTCTACATAAGTTCCAAAGAAAAATCCAAAGTCAGTCAATATTTTTTCGGTTTAAATAAAACTTTACTCCCGAATTAATTAATTTTGATTACCTGGGTACTAATCCAGTTCAAAAACCAAATTTTAATTGTCTCTTCAAATAATAAAAAAAAAAAAAAAAAAAAAAAAAAAAAACTAAAACCCTTTACAAAAATAACATAAAAATAAAAAGATTAAGAGTCAAAAATTCTAAATTTAAAATAATCTTTCAAATATGGTAAAACCTCGAAAATATGAGTCTCACAGACTTAAAAATTATCATACCACATTAAAAGAATCTTTAACCTACTAATCAACAATTAGTTATACAAAAATAATACTTAAAATTCCTACTAGCTTAAAACCAGCCGCGCTTAAAACGAATACACACTAAAAAGCCCTAGTGCATAAAAATCTTAGCATTGCAAATCAACACTAATAATTTTATAATATATACACATATAGGATAATTTATTTATTAAGAATGAAGTAGTTGGTTTATTAAATAAATACAATTCTATAACATTAAAGTTATAATACTCTAAGAATTGTATTTAATTTAGTAATTGTTAATAGAATAATTACTAATATTTGGTAATAATTATATTGAAAAAGAAAAATATAAATAAAGTAAAAAAAAAAAATATAAAAATAACAAAAAATTATCATTGAAAATAAGCCCTAAAAAATAACAAAATAAAATAGATATCTTACAAATAAAAATTAAGAGCCTCAAACATATAATAAACAAAACATAATACCTCACATTCATTCTGAAAAACGCCAATAATCAATGGATATATCGTATGCTTGAGTATGATATCAATTAAAATTATGCAATTTAACAGGAAAAAAAATTAATAACAAGAAAAAAAAAAAACACCAATTAATACATGACTTCCATGCAATCCAGTGCCAATATAAAAAATTCTACCATAAATTCTATCATTCATAACAAAGCAATTATGAGTGCATTTAAAAAATTGGAAACATTAAAAAAAATGCATCAATAAAAATACACAACAATAAAAAATTCTCACATTTATCCATATTTAAACACAAATATCGTCGAGAAAATTTTAAAATGGACTATGCATTGACTATGCATTATCAAAAATAAACTAGTTATACCATTAATACCAAGATAATCTGGAGATAAAATACCCACAGGAGATCAAATTCCCCCTAACCAAGCTAAAAGATATAAAGAAGAATCTAAAGAAGTCCGAAAAATAGAAAAAAATAAAGTCAATTCAATAAATAAAAATTACCGAAATCTTTGATCAAATATTCGATAATCATAAAAAGAATATTGTCCATAAAAAGAAAAAAGAATATTAATATCTTCTAAAAAAACATCCTTTATCCATACACATAAAAGATACAAAAAACAAATAAAAAAGAATAGAAACTACTAAAAAAAAGCTTAATTTGAACTTAATTGACTATGTTACGTGCATTGTACCAGTGCTGGTCGTATATTGCGTTTTCATTTTATAGTTTAAATATTAAAATACGCTTTGTAATTAAGTTTTGCGCATAAATTTATCAGCAAAATTAATAAAACTTTCAATTAATCATGATTTTAAATCAATTTAAGAATTTAAATTAAATTTAAATTCAAATCTAAATTTTGAATTTTTTAAAAATTTTAAAATTTGTTATAGTTTTCTTACATTAGACAAGGAAATTGGTTCCAATTTATCAATTTTAATTTTAATTAAGTGCCAAAACTGCTAAAAAAAAGCTTGTTTTGAACCTAATTGACTATGTTACGTGCATTGTACCAGTGCTGGTCCTATATTGTGTTATCATTTTATAGTTTAAATATTAAAATACGCTTTGTAATTAAGTTTTGCCCATAAATTCATCAGCAAAATAATAAAACTTTCAATTAATCATGATTTTAATTCAATTTAAGAATTTAAATTAAATTTAAATTCAAATTTAAATTTTGAATTTTTTAAAAATTTTAAAATTTGTTATAGTTTTCTTACATTAGACAAGGAAATTGGTTCTAATTTATCAATTCTAATTTTAATTAAGTGCCAAAACTGCTAAAAAAAGCTTATTTTGAAATTAATTGACTATGTTACGTGCATTGTACCAGTGCTGGTCGTATATTGCGTTGTCATTTTATAGTTTAAATTTTAAAATACGCTTTTGTAATTAAGTTTTGCGCATAAATTCATCAGCAAAAATAATAAAACTTTCAATTAATCATGATTTTAATTCAATTTAAGAATTTAAATTAAATTTAAATTCAAATTTAAATTTTGAATTTTTTAAAAATTTTAAAATTTGTTATAGTTTTCTTACATTAGACAAGGAAATTGGTTCCAATTTATCAATTTCAATTTTAATTAAGTGCCAAAACTGCTAAAAAAGCTTATTTTGAAACTAATTCACCATGTTATGTGCATTGTACCAGTGCTGGTCGTATATTGCGTTGTTATTTTATAGTTTAAATATTAAAATACGCTTTTGTAATTAAGTTTTGCGCATAAATTCATCAGCAAAATTAATAAAACTTTCAATTAATCATGATTTTAATTCAATTTAAGAATTTAAATTAAATTTAAATTCAAATTTAAATTTTGAATTTTTTAAAAATTTTAAAATTTGTTATAGTTTTCTTACATTAGACAAGGAAATTGGTTCCAATTTATCAATTTCAATTTTAATTAAGTGCCAAAACTGCTAAAAAAAGCTTATTTTGAAACTAATTTACTATGTTATGTGCATTGTACCAGTGCTGGTCGTATATTGCGTTGTTATTTTATAGTTTAAATATTAAAATACGCTTTTGTAATTAAGTTTTGCGCATAAATTCATCAGCAAAATTAATAAAACTTTCAATTAATCATGATTTTAATTCAATTTAAGAATTTAAATTAAATTTAAATTCAAATTTAAATTTTGAATTTTTTAAAAATTTTAAAATTTGTTATAGTTTTCTTACATTAGACAAGGAAATTGGTTCCAATTTATCAATTTCAATTTTAATTAAGTGCCAAAACTGCTAAAAAAAGCTTATTTTGAAACTAATTTACTATGTTATGTGCATTGTACCAGTGCTGGTCGTATATTGCGTTGTCATTTTATAGTTTAAATTTTAAAATACGCTTTTGTAATTAAGTTTTGCGCATAAATTCATCAGCAAAATTAATAAAACTTTCAATTAATCATGATTTTAATTCAATTTAAGAATTTAAATTAAATTTAAATTCAAATTTAAATTTTGAATTTTTTAAAAATTTTAAAATTTGTTATAGTTTTCTTACATTAGACAAGGAAATTGGTTCCAATTTATCAATTTCAATTTTAATTAAGTGCCAAAACTGCTAAAAAAAGCTTATTTTGAAACTAATTGACTATGTTATGTGCATTGTACCAGTGCTGGTCGTATATTGCGTTGTTATTTTATAGTTTAAATATTAAAATACGCTTTTGTAATTAAGTTTTGCGCATAAATTCATCAGCAAAATTAATAAAACTTTCAATTAATCATGATTTTAATTCAATTTAAGAATTTAAATTAAATTTAAATTCAAATTTAAATTTTGAATTTTTTAAAAATTTTAAAATTTGTTATAGTTTTCTTACATTAGACAAGGAAATTGGTTCCAATTTATCAATTTCAATTTTTATTAAGTGCCAAAACTGCTAAAAAAAGCTTATTTTGAAACTAATTCACCATGTTATGTGCATTGTACCAGTGCTGGTCGTATATTGCGTTGTTATTTTATAGTTTAAATATTAAAATACGCTTTGTAATTATGTTTTGCGCATAAATTCATCAGCAAAATTAATAAAACTTTCAATTAATCATGATTTTAATTCAATTTAAGAATTTAAATTAAATTTAAATTCAAATTTAAATTTTGAATTTTTTAAAAATTTTAAAATTTGTTATAGTTTTCTTACATTTGACAAGGAAATTGGTTCTAATTTATCAATTTTAACTCTAGTTAAGTGCCAAAACTACTAAAAAAAGCTTATTTTGAAATTAATTGACTATGTTACGTGCATTGTACCAGTGCTGGTCGTATATTGCGTTGTTATTTTATAGTTTAAATATTAAAATACGCTTTTGTAATTATGTTTTGCGCATAAATTCATCAGCAAAATTAATAAAACTTTCAATTAATCATGATTTTAATTCAATTTAAGAATTTAAATTAAATTTAAATTCAAATTTAAATTTTGAATTTTTTAAAATTTTAAAATTTGTTATAGTTTTCTTACATTAGACAAGGAAATTGGTTCCAATTTATCAATTTCAATTTTAATTAAGTGCCAAAACTGACTAAAAAAAGCTTATTTTGAACTTAATTGACTATGTTACGTGCATTGTACCAGTGCTGGTCGTATATTGCGTTTATTTCATTTTATAGTTTAAATATTAAAATACGCTTCTGTAATTAAGTTTTGCGCATAAATTCATCAGCAAAATTAATAAAACTTTCAATTAATCATGATTTTATTTCAATTTAAGAATTTAAATTAAATTTAAATTCAAATTTAAATTTTGAATTTTTTAAAAATTTTAAATTTGTTATAGTTTTCTTACATTAGACAAGGAAATTGGTTCTAATTTATCAATTTCAATTTTAATTAAGTGCCAAAACTGCTAAAAAAAAGCTTATTTTGAACCTAATTGACTATGTTATGTGCATTGTACCAGTGCTGGTCGTATATTGCGTTGTTATTTTATAGTTTAAATATTAAAATACGCTTTTGTAATTAAGTTTTGCGCATAAATTCATCAGCAAAATTAATAAAACTTTCAATTAATCATGATTTTAATTCAATTAAGAATTTAAATTAAATTTAAATTCAAATTTAAATTTTGAATTTTTAAAAATTTTAAATTTGTTATAGTTTTCTTACATTAGACAAGGAAATTGGTTCCATTTATCAATTTTAATTTTAATTAAGTGCCAAAATTACTAAAAAAAGCTTATTTTGAAACTAATTGACTATGTTTGTGCATTGTACCAGTGCTGGTCGTATATTGCGTTGTTATTTTATAGTTTAAATATTAAAATACGTTTTGTAATTAAGTTTTGCGCATAAATTCATCAGCAAAATTAATAAAACTTTCAATTAATCATGATTTTATTCAATTTAAGAATTTAAATTAAATTTAAATTCAATTTAAATTTTGAATTTTTTAAAATTTTAAAATTTGTTATAGTTTCTTACATTAGACAAGGAAATTGGTTCAATTTATCATTTAAATTTTAATTAAGTCCAAAACTACTAAAA